TCTCAGGGGTATCTTATAATTCACAACTTCGGACAAGTTAATAGTTATTCAACCTGGGTATATCTATAAAATGGAAGCAGTCATGGAAAGTCTGGAATTCATCTATTTTCCATATGACGGATAGATACTCAGATATTTTATTAACCCACATCTTAAATCCTTTAATTTTTTCAGTTTTCTATGAAGGTACACGTAGTGTGACAAGGATGGCAGGCCTGTATTTGGCTACTATTAGAAACTAAGGAATAATTGCCCTTTTTCTGATCGCACACAAGACCTGCCTCCCCAAAGGACAGCTCCTTTAACTTCTTCTAAGCCAACACCCAATCTGTTTGCTTCTGATTATCCTCTATCTTGGCCCAAGTTAACCTACAGTTTTCTCTAATTCACAGGTCTCAGCAGCATTACATGTTACTTACTTCTAGCCTTCTAGCACTGCTAAAGTTTTGTTTGCTGTATAGACAGCTTCGATGTGCCCAGCTATCTTCCACCATCCGACACACTGCAAAATTAGGGAAGCAAGTCAGTGGCATTCTGGCCTTGTACAGGCTTGGAATTTCTACTCTTCTGAAGAGCTGCTAAGAGTCACGGCAACAGAGACTCTCCTTCCAGGTTATTTATTACACACAGCTCCCACTGGCCTGTCAAGCTCAGGGGGTCTATGTCAGGATGAAAGCAGAATCATCCAGTGCCCAGATCAGTAATGGAAACTGTGAACCAAAAGTCTGTCCAAGACTTGCAATTTTCACTGCTGAAGACATTTCTATTCCCAACACAAAAGCCTGGTTTCCAATCCAGCAAGACTTAGCAGAGAGGATATGAACCATCCCCAAAGTTCCAGTCAAAAGGGGTGCCGTTAAGTTTTATAACTTCAACCTGTTTTCCAAATATGGTTTCTTTCTACGAAGATCAACATGACGCAATACTCAAGGAAATTATCTGAGAGCACACAGGTGAGAATGGGGAGGGAGCTGTCTTTAACAGTATGAGGCTTTTTAATATTCTAAAATTAAAAAGCCCACTTTCATCATATGTATTTCATCTCAAAAAAGTTCAGAAGTGCACTGAAGTATTTAGAGAGCATTGAGTGAATTATCAACTTTCTATATGTAAAATCATCCTGCTAAAGTTTGGTTAAGATGTAGTTCTCATCTTTCAAAGTTTTGTAGGTGTTTTGTTTTGCCAAGTATAAGATCAGAGAATCAAGTGACTTGCTCAAAGTCATTTGGTCAAATAGGGTGAGATTAGAATTACTGATTTCCTGCCTTCCAAGCTCAGCCAGCAAGCAAACTTTTCTTAGTACTAAGCAGACCAAAAGGGAAAAATCACTCCCCATTTTCTTCAGTAATCAGACGACAAAAGAAAATTAGTGCAAATGATAGAATTTCATCAATGCTTAGACTATTAATTCTAACCATGCACAGGAACTTCTCTCAAATGGTGTTTTTAACGATTTGCAAAAAGTCCACAGCCTCTACACAACCTAAGCATATGATGGCACCATAAAATTAAGATGTTTTAAATCAACATTTCATATCTACATCTATAAATAGTTAGCTTCTGTTATTCTGAAAGACCTAATCAGACTGGAATACAGATGTACCCTGAGCTCTTAGACTTGAAATAAAGGATCATAAATAAGTTCAAAGATTTCTTCATGTCCCTGAACAGGAAGAGTTCAACAGTGCAGGTGAAACAATGATTAACCCTTTGCACTCCGAACCATTCTGGACATTGGCTACCAATGTCCCCTGAGAGGGGACAGCGGAGTGCAAAGGGTTAAATAAACTAGAATCACTCAGGCTATGGAGAGAGGGTCAGATCACAGAGGCAGGTATGCACGTTTATCACTTTCTTCCTTTTTCAAATCCACCACCCCTCTCATACTCTACCCCATCCTTTTCATTTCTACTTTCAAACTGCTGATATAAAACACTACTTTTGAATTAATAACTAAAACATTTTCCAGTGGTGAGAAACATCGTCAAACACACACACCCCCCCAAATGTCACTGCATTGGGATGTGGAAATTAAAAGTAGCTGTGCGCACTTAGCACTTGTTATCTTGTTACAAAGCCACTATATTCACATTCAGTAATTTTCCTCACATCCACTTTTCCAGATCATATGGTAACAGCACTCCCATTTCTGATGACCCTCAAGTCCAGGAAAGTTTTCCTTTTCTCTTAGAAATGATGGATCACCATATGAAGAACTGGCATCAGATCTCAAAAATACTAATAAGTTCATGGATAAGTTGAAATTGTGGCTAGATTATATTACACTGAACACTTTCAAATTATAACGAATGTGATTTTTCTCTTATCTCAAAATTCAAGTCTACCTATTTCTAAATATAGTTCTAACATACACTTGGAGCGATGACCTCTTTTGCTCAAGAAAAACGTGGCCACGGGGTATACAAATCAAAAGCAAGGACTGGAAAAAATTAAACCTGGAAGGAAACACAAGTCTGACATTTTCCATTATGCCAGAAAACAGAATTGTCATTAGGAAATGTATTAGACTAAGCTCTATCAAATTGCCAATACACAACTGTTTTTGACCAGCAAAAGTGGTAATTTCATACGGTTCAACCTAATATTATTTTAGAATAAGCTCATTTTCAGAATTGCCTCAAATAAGGTCTTCCCATCCCCAAGCACATAAAACTCTATTTCTCTAGACTGCCTTAACCTTTTGAAAAGGTTTGCCATCCCACCATCCAAAGCTGGCCACTTGAAAAATGAAGTTCATTAATAGGAAAGCTAAGATAAATAAAACCACCAATTGCTGAATGCAACTGCACTTGCATAACCCTAAAACTACTCCAAATCCTTTTTACTGCTTCCCTCTCCCACTAACAGAAGGTGAATGGTAAGTAGCTCTCCCTTTAGAAGACGTACATCGAAGGAGAAACTAACACAAACCTGAGTGCTTTGCATCCTTTTCAGCTATTAGTGATACAGGAATCTAAGCATGGTAGTGGCCCATGGCTTCACACTGGGGCTCTACTGACCTAAAAACCTACCGTTGAGGAATTTTCATGAAGTTGATAAGTTCCATGAATGTTGGCGAATCTGGCTTCCAGCCTTTATAATCAAATGGGTGATTACTATCCCAATGGGACACACTTTTCCATCTAGATATGGCTGATTTGTGTACCCACACCAGAAATAACCTGTCACTTCCACAAAAGGGCACCAAGATTGCCTCCAGGTTCAAACCCATCATTTCACACCCATTTTTATTACAGCCTAATATCCAATTTGCTAATGAACTCTTTTCCTCAATTCCACTAATTCCTCACCTGTTCTTGTTCTACCAAAAGTCCTATCCTTTTATCATCTACACATTCCATCCATCAGACCACATAACTGTATCCACCTAGAGAGATGCTTTTTCTAAGACACCTCATAAACCGTTAGGTCAATTGGATTCACCTGTTCAATCTTCCTGCAGCTACTTCCCAGTACAAATCATCAATATTAACCAGTAAGTAAAATATGCTCAAATCACACACCCCCACAAGAGAGGATCTGGTCTCTCTGGAAACTTCTCTCTTCCGCTAGTTCAGTGTGGGCTGGTCCATGAGGATGGCACTAGCATTAGCACAGTCCATTTCCCTACAGTTAACCGTCCTCTCTGCCCTAACATCTAAATAACTCACAATTAGTAGGGCAGAATTTACTCTCCTGGCCCCAGACCCAATAGCATCTTCTAATAATTTTTCATCCTAAACAGTTTTTCTCTAGAACCCCTTGGTGATGCCAAGTCAGGCAAACAAATTCCTTAAATCTTCCACTTACTCCCCTTTCTCTAAAGTTACAGAAAAAACTGCTATTTTTTAAGTCCCTCTATGCATCAGGTACAGTGGTAAGTGCTTAAAAAGGAAACATACCTACTTCCTTCCTTAAAGCCCTGTGAGGTCAGCATTAGCATCCCCATTTCACAGGGGAGAAAGCTGAGGCTTAGGAACTTGTTCAAGGTCAAAAAGGGCAAGGAGCTGCCTCCAAGTCCGACTTCAGTGTCCTCCACCGTGTCACCCTCAGGCTGCTGCTCCTCGGATCTCCCAGCCCGGGATGCGGGTTCCGAGGTCTTGAAAAGGCCCAGCCCGGGCAGGGTTCGGCGCGGGGGGACTGTCTTCCCACCAAAGGACAAGCCCGGGGAGGAGCGACTGTCCCCCACCCTCCTCGGGCTCCCCCTGGCCACTGGCACCGTTTCCAAGGCCCTTATCAAGGCCCCTCTCTTAGGGTCCATTTAAATTCCCCCTCTGGTCCCCAGAGCGGCCCGCAGACCCCGCAGGGCCCGACTACCCGGGCCGGGGAGGGCGGGCGCAGACGGGGGGCGGGAGGGACCGGGCGACCCGCGCCCCAAGTCCTCATTCAAGAATAAACCGAGGCTCACCCCGAAGGGGGAGAGTCTGGGGTCGGGGCTGGCGGAGACGAGGGTGTGTCCTGGGGGCGGGGTGGGGGCGCGGAGGGGCGGCGGCGCGGGACGGCCCAGGGCTTGCAGATGGCGGGGTGGGGGGTCCCCTCCGGGCGGGGGGGGCCCCCTGGGGGGAAAGGCCCCGGGCACGCGGCGGGCGCGACCGTGCGCGGCGGGCGAGGCCGGGGGTGCAGCGGGAAAGTGGAGGGAAGCGAGCGGGGGAGGGCGCAGGAAAAGGGGGGTCGCCAGGGCGGGCGCGCGGGGGGCGGGCGCGGGGCCGGGGCAGCCCCGAGGGCCGCGGGTTCTCGCGCCAGCGGCGGGAGCGGGGAGCCCCGCGGGGGGAGGGGCGCCGGGGCGGCCGCGGCGGGCCCCGGGGCGGGGGTCCGGCGCGCAGGGGCGGCGGGGGCGCCGCGGGGGGCGGGGCGCGCGGGGCGCCCCCGGGCCGGGCCGGGCCGGGCCGGGCGTCGGGGGTCGGGACCCGCCCGGCCGGCGCGGCGCGGGGTGGCGGCGGCGGGGTCTCCGCGGGGTCTCCGCGGGGCGGGCGCGGGCGGGGGCGCGGGCCGGGTCCTACCTATGCCGGGCGCCACATAGACGAAGTAGAGCAGCGAGGACGACAGCGAGAAGAAGAAGAGCGCGGCGAGCAGCGAGCGGCGCGGCAGCCGCAGCAGCCCCCGGCGGACGCGCATGCTGCCCGGGCCGCGCGGGCGCCGGCCTCCCCGCCGCTCCCTCGCCGCCGCTGGGCCTCGGCCGCCGCCTCCCGGGCCTCGCCGGCCGCCGCTCGCCGCCGCCGCCTCGCAGCTCCAGCCGCCGGCCGCCGCGGGCCGGGCCACAGGAAGCGGGCGCGGGCCGGAGCGGCCCCGAGCGAGCGCTGCGGCGGGGGCGGGGCGGGGCGGGGCGGGGCGCGGCGGGGCGGCGAGGGGCGGGGCGAGGGGCGAGGGGGCGGGGCGGGGGCGGGGCCAGCGCCGCCGCGCTCGGGCGGCGGAGACCCGCGCGCGCGCGTTCGCCTCGCGACCCCGCCCGGCCCCCGCCGCGGAGCGCGGGCCCCCAGGGACCGTCGCCAAATGGCGACCGCCCGTCTCCCGCCTCGGCCACCGCCCAGGGCGGCCTGAGGGGAGCGTCGCTCAAGTCACGCTCGGCTTCGGGCTGGGGCGCCCCCAACCCCGCGCCTGGGGGCGTTTTTGCCGCTGCTCGCCCGCTGCGGCAGAGGAGCGCGGGTTGCGGGCTCGGGGGCGCCCGCGCCCGTTCACTCAGCCGCTCACGGCCGTCCAGACGCCGTTCCCGGCGCTGAGGGTGCTACAGAGCAGACAGGAGCTTTGTCTTGTTGGAACTTAAACAAACCAGCTCATAATAGCGGAGTCCGAAATGTAACGCGGACACAATGAGACGGGCGCGTGACGGAGGAAGGCCCCCCTCAGCGAGCGGCGGGCGCTGAGGCCTGGAAGGGTGAACGGCAGGTGCAAAGGCACTGAGGTTAAGAGAGCGAGAAGAGGCCTCCCTGGTGGCGCAAGGGGTTAGGACGCAACCTGTGAAGCTGTCCGCAGCCACTGCAGCACGGGTTCGATCCCCCGCCAAGCAGGGAGCTACCCCCATGGTGCAGCAGACCTCTCCTGGCTCCCCTCAGCTGAAATCCTCAGCAGTGTATTTCAGTCAATCTGCCTGTTCTGCTCCCCACTCTGTCTCTGGTGAATCCTCTCACCTCCCTGCCACACACACACAGAGCTCTGGCCTAGACTCCAGTTCTTGTATATTAATAAATAAAATAAATTTTTAAAAAATAATAAAAATAAAACCCTACAGGGAAGGCTTCTCAACTAGGACCTCCCTGGTGGCACAAGAGATTAAGACGCAACCTATGAAGCTATCTGCAGCCACTGCAGCACGAGTTCGATCCCCCGCCAGGGAGCTACCCACATGGCACAGCAGACCTCTCCTGACTCGCCCGCTGCTCCCCTCAGCAGTGTGTTCCAGTCAGTCTGCCTGTTCTGTTCCCCGCTGTGTCTCTGGTGAATCCTCTCACCCCCTGCGCCTCTGGCCTGTACCCCAGCTCTTGTGTGCATGAATAAATAAATATTAAAGAGAGAGAGGGAGAGAGAAAGAAGAGGCTTAAGCAACCAGCAATTTCTATTCAGACAGATGCGGACTCAAACCCCGTTTTGGCAGGACTCAAACCCCGTTTTGGCCGCAACTGGCTGCCTGACCTTGGGCAAGTCACTTGCAACCCCTCTGGGCGTCTAGTCATTGCCTAAAACATATTGCCCACCCACCTACTCCACATCACACTCCACATCGATGTGACACGGAGGGAGACAGCACAGGTGAGGCCCTGGATCAGAACTCCCAAATAGTTGGAACAGTCTGACCCGCAGCTACTTTTCCTCTGGCCCACAATGTCCCTTCCCCACCATGTCCTTGACAACATTTTCAAACATTCAGAAAATCTGAAAGAATAGTGGAAGGAACGCCTGTACATTTACCACCTAGGTTCAGCCATAATTATCATTTTTCCAGGTTTATTGCTATATATTCATATGCACACTTTATTTTTCTGAATCACTTGAAAGTAAATTGCTGCCTTGTTCATGCCTTAATATTCAACATCAACCCTAAGAAAAATTACTTTCCCCTATACAATAACATTATCACACCTAAGAAAATGAACAATCATACCACGGTATCCTGTAATAGTCAGTCCACGCCCAAATTGCCCCTTTTGTTTAAGGAATCTTTTATAGCTGTTTTTCCCCACAGTATCAAATCAGGATTTACATATTGCATTTGATGTTATTTTCACAGTATCTTTTTATCTACAACAGCTCTGTGACCTTTTTTTTTTCATCATTTGCCCTAATATTTTGTTTAAATCATTTTTAAGTCTATAGGGAAGTTGGAAGAATGAACACCCATATAACACCCCCTTGCAATGTTTTGTTTCACTGAACTAGTACTAAGTAAATTGGATTTCCATGTGGAAAATGGATTTTCCACCCCTTCCTTGCACTTTTCACAAAATCATTTCAAGAGAGATGGTAAATCCAAATGATATGAACATAAACAAAGAAAAGCTTTTAGACAAAATCGTAGAATATCCTCATGCCCTTGGGATAGGCAAAAATTCGTCAAACACCAGCCAAAAGGGAAAAATTTGATAAATTGGGCTACTTTAAAATAAGAATTTCTCTTCATCAAAAGATACCATTGAGGGAAGCGATACTTCACACCATAAGAGAAGAAACAGAAGTATATCACTGACAAAGAACTCATATCCGAATATTATTTTAAAAGAACAATACAGATTTAAGGAAGAAACAAACAAAAACAAGCAAAAGACTGGCTGAAAGTCTTTCAGAAAAGATCTCCAAATGACCAATAAATACAGAAAAAAGGGTCTTGCCTCTTTAGTCTCCACAAAACGCAAATCAAAACCACACCAGGGGCCTCCTTGGTGGCACAAGGTTTAAGACGCAACCTATGAAACTATCCGCAGCCACTGCAGCACGAGTTCCATCCGGCCAGGGAGCTACCCACATGGCGCAGCAGACCTCTCCTGTCTCCCCGCTGCTCCCCTCAGCAGTGTACTTGGGTCAGTCTGCCTGTTCTGTTCCACACTCTTTCTCTGGTGAATCCTCTCACCCCCTGCGCCTCTGGCCTGTACCCCAGCTCTTGTATGCATAAACAAATAAATCTTTTAAAACAAAAACAAAACCCACACCTCCATTACTGTCTGTGGGCCCCAAGTTCCAAAGAAGGACGAAGGGAAGGAGCGCGTGGGGCCCAGCCTTGAGGAAGTCCAGCTTTGAGTAGAGAAGCGCCACAGACTTCCTAGAAGAGGGCGAGCTAAAGGGGGTGCTCTGGAAGCCAAGGGAGGGGGCCTCTCAGCCTTGTGACAGAGGCCAGTGGTGGTTCCTCATGGTGTTATGTGCACCTTTTGGAACCACTTGCTCCCTCCTGCCACCCCTATAAAATTGACTCATAGGACTGACCTCTCATAGCACTGACAGTAAAGGGACAATTCGCAGCTAGAACAGGGAAAAGAAGCTCTGGCCCCACTGGCTGACACAAAATGGACTCGAATTAGAAAGGAAAGATGGCGACCAGCGGACTCAAAACAGGGGCCTCTCGGGTGGAGTTTCCTCACTATCCACCTCTACCCTTGCCCGGGTAGTTGAGGAACCTCCCTGTTCCTTTGCGTAAAGACGGGGCGGCCTTCCTACAGCTGCACTATATGCCAGTGACCAATTTCAACTTCAAGTCCCTTCTGAAATAACAGGACATTGGAAATGATTTTTTTTTTTTTTAATGGAAGGGAAAAAGAAAAAAACTGTCAGTGGGGAGGGTCCCTTGGATGCATCGGTTTCTTTGAAATCCTCCCTCCACATTCACTTTTCATCTCCAACTTAAGCTTTCAAATCACCGAAGCACCACACACTCATTCAGTCAGTCAGTCACGAGTTAGTCCTCCAGGCAAAGGAGCTCACTGCATCCGGCTTCTGCTCGCATGTCACCTCCTCTAAGAGACTTTTCCTCTAAAATAGCTTCCTTCTCTCCAGCCCAGAACTTTCTACCCACCCCCCCCACAGTCTTTTTTTTTTTCCTTCATAACACTTTTTATCCAGTGATAGCATATCATACATTCATGTGTTTGTTTGTTTTCTATCTCCTATGTCAGAACATAAGCTCCATGAAGTCAGGGATTTTGTTTCAGCCTCTGTTGAGGCCTTGGCTCTAGCACGGTGCCAGACACCCGGCAGGTGCTCAATAATTGTGGAGGGAATGACGAAAAATAGCAGATGTCGCCACGCACAGGCTGGCATAGCAGATGCAGAGATGACTAAGAGCAGGTTCTCGAAGGCAGGACTGACAGGAGCGTGAGTAACCGGCATCATGCAGCGAGGGTGGGACTCGTGTGCTCCGTAGTCCGGGAAATGTCTGTGAGAGTCTAGATGGTCTCAGAAGGGTGGGAGAGAGTAGAATGGAGTAGGAGGGGCAGTGAGAGGCAGTCAGCCTGGCTAGAGAGGCTGGTGTCTCCAAGTAAAAGAAAAAGGGGAGGGGAAAGACAGCTCAGCAGGGGTCGGGGAGTCAGAAAGACCTAATGACCAACCTGTCCTGCCTCTTCCTCCCATCACATCACACTTGCAAATGACCTTGCAAGTCATTTCCCTTCTCTGAGCCTCCATTTTCACATTTGTAAATTGGGGGTCATACAACTCTTCTTCCTGGAGTTGCTTTGAAGACCTGAGATAGTAGCTGGGGTGTCTGGCATGTAGCAGGTGCTCAATCAACGGGAGCTGCTGAGTTACACTTTTCCCTGTGGGCTCTTGAAGGTTTTAGAGGAGGGAGTGGCCTAAAGTAAGGGAGGCCCTTGGAGAAATCCCAGGAGAGCACAGGTTGGGCCTCCGCGTGCCGGTTAACACCCATGACAGGCTGACCCAAGAAAGGAACCACAGCCTAAGGTAAGAAGTCCCAAGGTAACAGTGCCCTGCCCACCCCTTCAGACTTTACTGGTTCTGGATACTTCACCTAAGGAAGGCATTGCACAATCCATCAATAGTAATCACCACAGTTTGATACTATCACAGAAAAGTGACAACCCAAGTCAAGCTCCTAGAGGTGAGCAGATAGAGATCGCTGCATATCCACGAGTGCTCTCCAGGTACCCAGTGCCTGGAACTCATGTTGACTAAGCATGGACTATGAGGTCACCC